GTTGCATCAATCAACCAATAAACACAACATTTGGGGAGAACCGATTGGTTGCATTTGTTCATGCAGTTAAAAGATGAATCAGACATTAATCGCTTGTCCTTCTAACCAAACACAAACAGGTATGAAGACAGAAAAAAAAACTCCTTCAGCTTCTGTTACCATCTTCTCTACATCCAACAGATGTTGCAGCTGCCTTGCATCACCATCACACAATACATTGTGTTACAACTATGATCACACCCAAGAGACTTCACTGAGTGCCTCCAGGATCCCATGTTAGATTGCAGCCACTCCTGGCGTCTTTCATCAATACTCCGTGTCCTGAAAATGATTATGATGTCTGTAGCAGCCTTACTTCACACCTTGCAGGTCACACGGTACAGCATCAGCTCCCCTGCTTATTACTCTGGGGACCTCATTGGCTCCTAAGAAGACTGGCAGGTTTGACAGGTGGAGCTAGAGTCGACTTTGACAAACTACTGATTAGGCTGTCACTCTGAATAGAGGAAAGCCATGAACTATGTAAAACTAATTCACTCACTCACTAGCTGCAAGCCCGACAGGTAGCTGAATGAATGCATCACCTCATTGAGCGGCATAGGTTGACATGTCTAATTATGCTAGAGTAATAAGCAGCAGTCACATTGATGTATCTCAGCGAGGGTTTCAGAGCCCAGGCTAGGTTACTTGAATAAAATCAATTTGTCCTTCAAACCTTGTCGAAATGTGTGAATAAAAACTGACTTGTGTTTGGCATTTGGTGTTGTCGAGAGTAATGCCTGAAAATTCTGTTTTTGGATTGACTTAGTGCTAAATTAGATCCAAATTGTTTCACATGCTCCTTCAACAGGGTTTTGGCAGATTTAAAGCTACAAGTAGATCAGTATACCTCTGATCATTTTAGTAAATTAATTATTACACAGAACCTTCTATCAGACACAACTCACTAGAGACCATTTATATCCATTATACTTTTTTATAAGCAGAGAAAAATAATCTACATCAAGAGGAGGAGGAGCAGTTCAGTCTTCTAAAATAATATCTTTAAGAAGCAACATGTGCTGTAGGTCATGATCTGCTTTTCTAGATTTTTTGGTACGCTTTGATTTTTGTGTTGTGTTTGCTGTTAAGTTTTATATCATTTTTGAATGATGTCTTAGTTTAACTCTTACGTGTTGTTTATTTTAGTTATTTACTTTCAGCATTATTAGTATTAATTTAATATATTCCGCAGTTTCTTATATTTATAGTTTTTGTTATCTAAGACTATGTTTTCTCATTGCCCCTAGTGCCACTCTCCTTTCCCCCTAGTTCCCTACCAGCTTTTGCTGACCACACCTGCTACCAGTCAAGTAATAATCTCCACACATTATTCAGTATTCTCCTCCCCTCTATATATTCTCCTTCCCTGCAGTTAGTCTTTGCAGGATTATCTACAATAATTCCTGTCACTCACCTCCTGTGTTACTCTGCTCAGCTTCCTGTTCCTTGCCTGTTTTCCCTTTGGATTTATACGACTGCTTCCATCATTACTAAATCTACAAGAAACCATCTCTGCCTCAGCCTCTGCGTTTTGGGTCCTTGTACAAACTCTGACACAAAAAACTTACACTTACATTTGAAATCAGATATTTACTTGCACTTTATTCAACTAAACATCTTTTTCAGAGCCATTAAACTAGACTAAAGCTTTCTAAAATAAGGATTTTTAAAATGTCTTTCATGTGTTATATGTCAAAATAATGAAAAACAGTATAACTCAGAGATTTTGTATTGCTCTCTTACAATTTAAAAGTTTACTTCTACCTTTTACCGTCACAACATAAAAACAATCACAAGAGTTAATTTTTGGAGACATGTCTTGTGAATGCCTAAAACTTCAGCTATGCAAACTGATGTTAATACCATCTCTAATTACGTTACGACTGCTGAGCAATGTCATCTGTTTGGGCTCCCCCTTACCTTCCAGTCTGCATATTCTACAAGTGATACTGTCTGAAATAATCAGGATCCAGATCTCTGCCTCTTATTGACCATTGTCACACACTGTAAAGCAGCAGGGGGAGAGAAAGCAGCAGTCTGGGGAGAAGGCAAGGTGAGGAGATAAAGTGTACCACTGAATAATTCAGAACAAAAACAGAGGAAAATCAATCATGTGACCAAATCTGATACTGATAGCCAAATTCACCATAATATTAGTGGGATAAATCTGTTTGTGGGCTCTGTCTGTTATGTGGAACTAACTGATTCTGATCTCACTATGCTCTGAATTTATGATTTTGAGAATAACCATCTCCTCTGAATTGTAATGTTCTCTGTGTTAGTTGGACACTTAAGAGTTTCTAAGTATTTAGCACTACATTGGATTTTATAATTGCCAATCATGTCCCTTTATTGGTCAATTACCTACTCTAATCAAGTGAGTCAGCCAAATGTAACAGTCTTATTATTACTCAATTAAAACAAATGCTCTCTGTGGTTTGGGCTTTGAGGGAGACAGAGAGGGGCTATGGGCGGGTGAGGTGTTCATACTATATCACCAGGTAATTAATATTTTCATTAACTTGCTCTCTGTTGAGCACCGACCTGCCTCTGATCATTTCATTTCCCCTCCATGGGTTCGATACCGTAGTGGCTCCATAATTAGTTTGATTTACATCTGCCTCCTGTAATGAAGGAGCTCACTCCCTCTTCTTCCCTGGTGCCATTGCTCTGCTCTCACTCTTGTTACAACCGATAAATTCACTGGGTCGGACATGGAAGCAATAGGCTTTGGTGTATTGAGACAGCTCAAGAACAAGAAACAGAGACTTGCTTTATGAAAAATTCACAGAGGGATCTTAGAGGGATTGTGGAAGGACTTGTGTAGGGAAACATTGCTTATTAAAGATTGAAGCAAACATGGATGATTCCTTTTTAACTGAAAATTGAAAATTCCCACATAGTACTGCTTATAAGCTGGTGAGATAGGGAGCAGTGCTGTCATCCTTGAAATAGATCTGTAATAATCATGTACAATCAGTGTAAGAATACCATTATTAATGTATTTACTTGAAAGAAAAATTACACGTATGGATAATTAAAGGCAACAACCCTATTTTGGAAATGTATTGAGCACTGTTATGTCAGCTGCAACAGATTTCATTTGAACCCATGCATGCAATACAGTCCACCGTGTGAGCTCCATGACTTAAGCAGCTTTACACCCAGCAGGGTAACACAGGAGTGCAGATGAATGGCTTCAGCATAAATAATGCTCCATTGATTATTGTTCCGCTGTTTAAAGGTGAATGGCAAAGCTTTCTGAGCAGCAGGGGATGGAGAAGTGTGTACGTCTCAGAGAAAGCCTGATTTCCATTTCGGAAAGTGCACCAGATTCTCAGGCGGTTCGGTTGTTGTTTTCAGTCAATACTAATGGTGAACTTTCTTTGTTGGGGAGGACTCAACGGTCCTTTACACACAGGCTGCAATGCAGTTGCTAGAATTTCTTTAGTACTGCATATTTGCTTTTGAAAACCCATGTGTGAATTCATAGTTGATAACAATCCAGCTACACAAACACAGTAAGCAAATTCAAAATTGGGATTTCAAGAGTTTAGGAAGAGTCTACTTGCATGCTTGATTTTCCTGCCATGCAATACTACAATATTTAATGCTTAAAATATTGTTCATTGTTAAGATTGGATGTCAGATGTGTGGTGCATTTCAGAGGCAAGTTGGATTTTTACAAAGAAAGGATCAAAAGCTTAGCCTACAACTGCCCTCAAGCCAGAAACACATTAGGTTTATCTCAGTGTATCTAGAAGGGCAACAGTCAGCATATCACATAACGGTACAATATAGAAATAATAACAAAAAAGGGTTTGATCTTGTGTTTACTTCAAGAAGTCAGGTTTATTGTAAATGTATGATGGAGCTTCCAAAGGTTCCAAGCATTTTGCTTAATGTCCAGTCCCATTTTTACTTTGATAGAATTCTTATAGTTTAAGCAATGTACTTGATATAAAAGTAAACAAATTCAAAAATGAATGCAATGAGCCCTTTGCTGGAGCCTTTATGTTATGTTGTTTTGATGCTCTTAAGGATCGATATGCATGAGCAAACCAGCAATAAATGGTGCTAATAGGAAACATTGTGAGTTCTTGTTGCAGGTTTCACGAGGAGCCACAACCAAGGGGGTGGAAGCATAAAGATAATCTTCAGTGCCACATAAAAAGGGAGCCAAATTAGCAAGCTAGCCAGAGTCCATCGCACATCTCTCAGGCACATTTAGCCAGCGATGAATGCAGCTCTGACTAGCATTTCCCCTCACTCAATTATTGATGGTAATTATCCCAGCGTGCTTAGTCTGCACCATAACAATACATTTTCAAACGAGAAACAAGTCACTGCGCATTCTCTCAAGTGATCATTTCTGTGTTGTCTTTGTTTTAAGTGGGAGTTCTCTGGATAAAATAACTGGCAAAATATTTTGCACTTCTATGTGAACAAAGAGCTGGCACCAAGACTACTTTGAAAGTAATCACAATAAAAATACTCACAACAAAGTAATAAATAATCATTAATTATTAATTATTCAAAGGTAATTATGTTGACACAATGTTTGTCCACCAATTTCTATGAATAAAGTAAATACTTTACCAATACTAATCAGTAATCAATAATGTATTCATTTAGTATTAAAAACACTAAATTAATCCAGCAGTTTATATATAAACATAATGTTTGGTTTTGTGGTGTGTAAAGATATTTAAAGAACAAAACAAAGAATACTGAACAACAGCTTCAACACCTGTTTGAAAGCGTTGCTGTGTTGATTATTTTTCAATTCAAACAAGCAAAACGGTCATACTCTGAAACATGTCCTCCGACAAATGGCATGCAAACATTTGCTTTGCCAAACAAACAACAAGACAAAAATAACCCAAATCTTAACAACTCTGTCTTTTTCCTGGCTATGATCTCAGCCTTACTGTCCTCTATTTCCCCTTCCATTTCAGTAAAAGGCCCAAGTTTGCTGTCTTCCAGCGCCCCAGGGCATGGAGCTAGCCAGCGGTGAGATTCCATCAATTAGTGCACCCCCGCGGCCTCTTGGCAGAGCCCACCTTTGACTGCAGTGAGATATTGATTAGTTCAGCTGCACTGTCAGGTCTGAAGTGTGCAAGGCCCAGTGATCCAAGGCCTTCACCAGAGACAAGATCATGTCAAGTTTCTGACACATGTATGCACTCATACACACACACACACACACACACACACACACACACACACACACACACACACACACCCACACGCACACACATTTATACGTACATGTGTACAAATGCAGGTGCACACCAATGTGTACGTTCACACATGAACATAACAAATTCAATGAAATATGCTCTCTTTAGATGACTGCCAGGTGTGAGAGAGGGAAAGATAAGAGGAGAAGTCCACAAGAGTTGCTTGTCAGTGATGGCTGAGAACTGACAAGTGCTTGTTAGTTTTTGTTCTCCCTCAGCCTGGTAGAGTTGGTGTGAAAAAAAAGATGGAGAGCCTACACAATCACTGAATGATAATACAATGTAATGATATATTTCATTGTACAATGGAAATAGCTACAGAAGATAATGAAAAAAAAAAAACAAAAAAAACAAACACATATTTTCTCTTGATAAAAAATTGTACATAAGAAAGACATCTTATGTCAACGCATTACAACTCTTAAAACATCAGAGGCATTTATCTCAAACAGTAGTACAGTGTGTTTGCATAAGAGACTAGCATTGTAACTGTACTAGTGAGGGTGGCAGCACTATAAAAATTTAGTTTTAAAAGAGATCCCTGACAGACAAATGTGTAGTAAAACATAAATGTGGATCTTTGCTCCCCCACATGCATTTCAAATATTGGCAGGACCTACAATTCATAGAGGGGTATTTATTGGGTCTTTGCAGTGATGCAATCAACTGCAACTCCATGGGCAGAGAAAAAAATTACAATGTACTCTTTGGTGAACATACCTCAGAAAATATTTCTTCAAACTATTTCAAGGCTACAGTTTTTTTCTTGCTGAACCTCATAGTCAAATTTGACTGACCACAGATGCCATTACAGTTTGATGTTTATGCTTATGTTAATGAGGTTAAAAAGAATAAAATAATAGTCTCAAACTGAGCAGAAAACCAATGAAATCAAATGAGGCAGCTAAATAAAATGAATAAATCCAACATTTAATGAAGTCAACGCTTGTGTTACGTTTTAATCCAATCTAATCCAACTTTATTCATTAAGCATTCATAAGACAGAAAGAAATTATAAACAAACAAAATAACTACCGGTAATATAGAAAATTAAAAAATACACAAAGATACAATACACAAAAACAAACGGTTGATCTATATAAACCTAACAACTCAACAAATATCGAAAGGGTCCGAGATGTAGAATAGGGCAAGGCAGTATTTAATAAAAGAAACCTACAATTTTAAGATATCTGATTCAGCCAGTGAAATGCAGCCAAATCTGGTTAAATGTGCTCAAACTTGAGTTTTTACTTCTCTGCAGATGTGATTTAAGACCCTCTGACCCACTTTTCAGACTAGTATTACCGAACCTGAAAACATGAAAAGCATGATTGCTTTCATGTTAGATAAGGTTGATTGATAATTATTTATTTTCAGGTTAAGATCGGCTAAATAATAACTCATAACTAAGGGAATATCCATTAAATTACGACAATGATGCACCTTAATTATCTATGAAACATACCTTTCTGTTTCTTTAACAGGTATGATGAGTGTGGATACAAAAAGACGGATCTTGATAACATGTATTTTATGTTATAAAATGATTTTGTCAAATATTGATAATGTAGCAAATATTAATAAACAAATTTTTTTTTATTTTTGTTTGATGATTTCTAATATTATTTAATAGGTAAGTTGATATTAAAATAATAATGAGATTGAGAAAAGAATGATTGTGTCTTTGAAGTAATTGGGTATTTGTATACATTTTTTAAAACCGTGTCATTTTTCTTCTGTCGACAGATCATCTCCAAAGATCTGTGAATATCAGGAGCCGGGAGGGGATCAGTGGGACTGGACAAGATCATTTGCAGAAGAAATATAAAGTCCCAATCTGCTATGTAGTTCTGGAAAGAAGGCTGGAAGTATGGTTAGACTTTTATGGCAACCTTATATGTCCCCCCCCATTTGCAAAAAAAAATAAAATAATTTTTTCTGTATGAATAAAAAAAAAACTGTTTTGCTGTTTGCTGTTTATTGTTGAATAATTTTTTTTAAAGCATTTCCATAAAAATGTATAGCAGCAAACCTGTTAGGATGACAGGATGCAAGGGTACTGTTTGTTGCACAAAGGCAAGGATGGAACATCGTTAAAAAAGCTGTCANGAGATCAATCAATCAATCAATCAATCAATCAATCAATCAATCAATCAATCAATCAATCAATCAATCAATCAATCAATCAATCAATCAATATGTGAAAGCAAACAGAAAGAAAAAGCAAAGAAAAAAACACACAAAACACAAACACACTCAAACACACACTCAAATGCCTAAGGTATGCTTCACTTGTGAGCTACAATTAGTCCACAAGCCATATGATCTGCTGCAGCTGTACCTAATCAGTGTGAAGGCTACAGAGGACATGCAGCCTTCATCTCGAGCCTTCCTGCTGTGTGCCCTGTACCACTCCGCTCGGTTCGAAGAGCAGGGATGTGTGCACCACTTCCTGTCTCCTCCCTACTTTACCGTTAGAGAACTGATCCCCCCCGCAGTTCCCTGCTCTCTGTTGGTTAAATAAGCTATTTCACCTTCTTTTCATCCTCGCTCAGCCGGTTACACGAGCAGTCAGCCCATTACGCTGAGATGTGGGATGGTGCAGCTTTGCTTTACAAGTAAAAGACATTCATCTGAGGAGCTTCTTGAACAGATGTTTAAACAATTTAAGCCTTTGCATAGCTGTCTTTTGGTGGAATACAGGGAATTAAAATAACTTCCGTAAAAAAAAGCAGCTTTTAAAAATGACTGTCTCAAGCTTTAGTCGTCAGCTTGTCAAAGAATCTGCTCATATATGTTTTTATTTAGAGAATTTGTCATAGTGGTGATAAAAACACTCTAAAAGAGAAATGGCTATTATTGACTTAGAAACTGCTCCAATTTGTACAAGTTCTCAAAACTGTTTGTGTGGCTGCCCTTTTTTTTTTTTTTTTTTTTTAAAGCTAATGGCCAGACTGCTGACTGCAGTGGCATGAACCACCCCACCAGCACACCCTCTCCCCTCCAGAAATACGGAGGATGTCATTGTACAAAATGGTTCTGCAACGACCGCTTTACCTATTTTTTCAAGTGATGACGAGGTTTATTTACATTAGATCACAGCATTAAATCCATAAATCCTTCAACACTGTTGTCTCGAGTACTTTACATTGACAAGTATACGAATTAGGGGATGAGAAAGTATCAGGAAATTATCCACCTTTTTAGTGAATGTGGCAGTGGAGCCAAGCTTTTTAAAATCTAAATGAAAGACAGAGAAAATAATGTTGCCAAAATGGGGAATGCTCTTAAAGGGGAACGCCAATTTTTTTTTTACATTGGGCATTTGATTTTGCATTATTACATCATGTTCTTCTCACCCATATGAGTTTTGTGTCATTTGGAGCTGTTCTGAAGATATTCCGTAAGGTTATATCAAAGTAATGTCTTCCTTTGGGCAACTACTTGAAGGCACAAACTAAACTGTTCATAATTTATCATTTATTGTATCCACGATTATATATTTTATATTTATATTTCTTAAAAACAAAGAGTAGTTTGTAGTTGTTTGTCATCGGCAGAGATGGCAAAAGTACTCACTTTCCGTACTTGAGTAAAAGTACAGATAATTGTGTTAAAAAAAGTGCTGATTAAACTTCTTTACTCAAGTAAAAGTAACAAAGTACAGGCTTGTAAATTTACTTAAAGTATAAAAGTAAAAGTAGAAACCACTTTTTTCATGCCGTTGCCTACATTTTAAATGGATGTCTGCCAATAGGACTAGATCTCCATTGTGTTAATTTTCAATCATCTCGTCGTCCATGCTACTATGCTAACGCCACCGCCACCAAGCTGCAATGATTTGACGCAAATGAATACCGCCGAATCTGTCGATTCATCTTGTAGTGGTTCCCATCCAATTAGATTGAATTTGGTATTGATGACATGAAAAATAATAACGGTAACTTCATTGAAATTATTCAAAACTAAAGTAACGAGCCAATTTTTTTAAATGTAAGGAGTAGTAGGTACAGATATTTGTGTAAAAATGTAAGGAGTAGAAGTAAAAAGTCGCCATAAAAATAAGTAGTAAAGTAAAATAATAATATCAGAAAAATCTACTTGAATACAGTAATGAAGTATTTGTACTTCGTTACTTCCCATCTCTGGTCATCGGCTACCATTCATTCATCCTGTCCGCTGAACTGCATCTAATTTTACTCACATGCCTGGAAGATGTCCAGTGCAAATACCACAGATGATCTCGCTCTCAAAATGGTATCGAACAATTCAGGTTAGCTAGCCGAATCAATGGAAAGGGTAGAGCGTAGCCGCCTGGGGTGTGGGCTGCCTGTCACAGCTCCAGTCCGGTGCACGGATGACGTCACACATGCGGCACTTTGTTTTAAAAATATATAAATATAAAAAATATAACCGTGGATGTCTGGGGGACAGTGATTCGCCTACATGAATTATGAATGCTGGGGTACCATAACGAATAAATCATGAACAGTTTAGTTTGTGCCTTCAAGTTGTTGCCCATTGGAAGATGTTACTTGGATATAACCTAACGGAATATCTTCAGAACAGCGCTAAATGACACAAAACTCATATGGGTGAGTAGAACATGATGGAATAACGTAAAATCAAGGGCCCAATGTAAAAAAAGAAAAAAAAACAGCGTTCCCCTTTAAGAGGTTTGTGAGTGGCTTTTAAAAAAGATGTTTTAATTTAGCCCTAGAAAGACTGTTTTGTATCCTACCTCCGGCACAGACATAGACTGCGCTGGAGACATAGTGCTAACTCTTTAGCCATCGGGCCATTAATAATCTGTCTCCCAGCAGGCCGATTCGAGGTACCGCTGTTTTCCTCGGCTGTCTTCCTGTGCTTACAGCGGCAAGCGGCAGCCTCTACCGCTGTGTTTCCTTAGCTCCAAAGGGCAGCATAGCTGACAGGCTTCTCTCCCCTTATCTTAACAGTAAAGGTGATTTTGTCCCTGTTTTGGTCACTTTGACCAAAACAACCATGGAAAGATGCGATTCAGCCCAAAAAATAAAAAAAGCAACAACCAGCACTTTGAATCTGTCATAATAACTTGGCGGTTGCTGCTCGTGACCAGTCTAGTTTCCACAGCTAATTATAGAAATAGTTTTTTATTATTTATCTCTGTAGGACTAATAGGCCTAACAGTCCCAATTGAGCGTAATGGTGATCTCTACAGTCACCAGTTTGTCAGCTCTGCGCTACCATAGCGCAAAAAGTGTCTACCTCCACAATTTCAAACCGACTGTTGAAAACGATTATAAGTAACAATTTCTAAGGCAAAGCAAACATAAAAATGGAGAATTTAAGTTCATAGATGATAACAAATAACATACAAAGAGATGTCAGTAAATTCATTTAATATTACACCCTGTAACTTAAATAAATATAAATAATTATTTAATAATAAGTAGATAATAAGTACATATTTAAATTAAAGACGCTTGAATTGTTTTTCTTGTTCATGTTTGGTTAATTTTGTTTAAATAATCACATGTTATTTTCTGACAGAGGTCCAGGAAATCATGCATGCACATAAACAGGATGGGATCATCTGGGTCGGACTGCCAGTGATTTGCAGCAGCAGAATGTTGTCATTTCCCTGCCAAAAAAAGCGCTCAGTCCTGCTCAAATTGATTGTGTCGCCTCATTGCTTCTGAGGCCAACATGGGTAGAGGAGTGGTCATAATTGAGAGGAGAGTTAGAAAACCTTAAATATATGGCAGGTGATATATCATTACCCATAGACTTGACCCTGCCTGACCCGCTCCAGCTCCCATGTGGTCTCCGGCTCGAGGCTGGCGTGCAGCAGACGGAGGGGTCTGCTGCCGCTCAAACGACTAAATCAACAGCTCGCACTGGAGTGTTTTGCTTGAACGGTTTCATGAAAAACTAATCATCTGTTCATCTTAGAGATCAAACACACGCAGGGGCCATGATTAGGAAAAGCAATCTTATAAAGCTGGAGGAACCAGTAGTTCAGATATAATAATTTCTAGATTAAAAAGGACTCCTCCCTCCTTCTTCCTCTTCCTCCTCATCACTCTCCCCATCTTTCCTACTGTTACCTGAATCTGGAAAGAAAACTTTTCTTGTTAGTAACAAATGCTTGTTTACAGAGAATTTTTTGAAAATCTAAGCTATAAACAGGATTATTTCTCTCAATTTTGATAGATTATCTTACAGCTTGAGGTGGGAAATTTACCTAATTACTGTCAAAAGTATGGCCGGTTAACTAAGGATGCATGAGTTAATTATATCTGCTTTTGAGGCAAACCTATAAGAAATAAAAGTGGAGGTCAAGGTAATCTCCCTGGGCCCTAAAAAAATAAAGTAAAAGAGAAAGTTTTAAATGAATAGACAAAAGTCTACTTGCTCCAAAGGAACAATATAAAGTCAGTCAGTATGAGCTTCCCAGGAGATCAAAGGAGAAAAAGATGATTTATTATGAACAGGGAATCTCTCAAGCTTAAACAATTATGCACCCATACCCCTGAGTTACTTAAGCAAATAAAGTGAAAATAAATAGTAGGTAGGTAATGTTTGATACACCTGCTGAATATAATAACATTTTGTCATTTCCACAAAGTGGATTGAAATGAAATTAGAGGTCCCTGTAGCCTGTAATAAAATGTGGAGCCTTCAAACTAATGCAGTTTGTCATCATGTGGACATAATAATGCTCTCCTCTAACTTCCCTTTGACTGATGCAGGCTTCAGATACAAACAGTGACATAAAGGACTCTCAGTGGAAAATGCCACACAATCCACTTTAACATTTTATGAGATAAAATATGATATGAACAGCTGAAATTGAATAAAAACCTGTGCATGAACTGGAGATTTTCTTATGAGACATGATGTT